GTGGAAGAAATTAAAAAACTCTATACTACATGTCGCAAATATGCCAAATCTAAAAGGGTTCTATTCCATTATAATGGTCATGGTGTACCTAAACCAACTGCCAATGGTGAAATTTGGTTTTTTAATAGGGTAATTATGTGTTTTTATTTTGCACTATCTTTCTATCTTCATGCCTTATATTCAATAGTGTCCCTAGACTAATATCCTCTGTTCTTCTCAAATGTTGTAGAGTTATACACAATATATTCCATTGCTTATCAATGATCTTGACTCATGGCTCAAGACTGCCTCCATATATGTTTTTGATTGTTCTGTTGTAGGGATCAGAGGCGGAGCCACTAGGGGGTTATCGAGTGCTTTGCCCCCTAATCGGTTTTCAGAAATGAGCGATAGTATACCTAAAATGGGACACTGCTACATTGCTTAATTGAGCCCCTTCCAATTATTTTAAAGAATACAAATATCTTGTATATATAAAAGAATAAGGATATTAGACTTATAACTAAAAATGAGGCCCGCCATCTAATTTGAATTCCATCCATATTTATCTTATTTTATTCAGCCATTAATTAATATCCCATTATTTCAATTCGTCTGTAGCTCACCCCCAGTTTTTCATTTTGTTAATTGATGACTTAACAAAGAAATATGTAAAGTTATTTTCATTCGCTGAGAAGATAAATTTTCAATTAAGAAATCGTTTCTGGCTACACTGCTATATTAATATTAAAAATGTAAATTTATATTTTTATTTCATACTTTATTTATTGTTACTTGTTATTGAATGATTTTTATTTATTTATGCATTTTTATTATAAAAATATAAACATATTATTATATTCAAGTATAACATTATATTTTATATTATTACGATGTTAGATTCTCAACCCCCCTTATTCTTAAAGCTTGGCTCCGCCCCTTGCAGGGATGATTGTCAATGCCTTCATAGAGGTATTATTAAATATTTCTAAAATTTGAACTGATGATGATGTTTTATGTTTTCATCTTTATTGTTTTCCTTTTACCTACGAACCACAATTCTCTCTCTTTTATGTATTCATCTTTTTTGTTTTCCTTTTAACATTTCTTAAATCTCAACTGATGATGATGTTTTATTTTCATTCACTTTATTAAGGTCATGAAGAATGTAAGAGATATTCAAGGACCTACGTTGGCAATTATTCCTGAATGAATGAAGTCACATTGTGCAGTTGCAGGTCTGACTTTATCAATAGTCTTTGGATTGGATGGGTTAAATGCAAGAAATAGCAACCTACTTTTATATATTGGTAGTTTTTTCAAAGTCTAATGTCGTAATAAGAAAACTGACTGAAAGTACAATGTTATAAATGGGTATATTTTTCAAAGTACAAAAAGGGAAAATGTAAACGTATAGTAATACTATAATAAAGAAAATGAAACTAGGATGCGATACTAGTTACTACACAAATAAATAAAAGCATGTTGATATTTCTTGCATTTAATTTGTTTTGGGTATGACCTTATGATTTCATTCTTCTTGAGGTTGATGAACTTATGTATATTTATCCACATTCAGATGTACATGATTGCATAAAAACAACAGCCCAATCTTAGCAAGCATCAAAAACAAAGGTTGGAAAGTCTAATGGTTATGGATCAAAACCAGGAAGTAGAGTTGTATCTTTGGTATGATATATATATAGCTTTTATACTTTATTCGTTCTGATTTATAAAAATAGATATTAAAGTTATTGTTTTAATTCTGTGTTTAAGAGAGGGGTACCAACAAAGGGCTCCAAACCAGAGCCTATAATGTATGTTCAAGATATTAACATACAATCACAAGCATTGCAAAATGTCAAAGACTCTAATAAGATTTTTGGATACATATTTTATGCCATTTAGCAATTTAAGAAGGATCAAACATACTTTAGTTATACTACTACTACTACTACTACTACTACTAATAATAATAATAATAATAATAATAATAATAATAATAATAATAATAATAATAATAATAATAATAATCATAATATATAATTTACTTACAGGATGAAAGAGAGAGAATTATGGTTCGTAGGTTTAAATTTGAAGACTTGCGATTGTAGCAGATTCAGGAACATGAGGTTGCTAATTTGATATCTATATAATGACATTGTTTTGGTTCTCATTGAGATTCTCAAACAAGTAATTAAATTTATTGAAACATAATGATTTGAGGAAGTACTTCAGGGAGGATTTGCAAAGGTGGCTTTTGAGCACAGACTTCAAAAAACAAGTTGATGGAATTGAGATGCTTCAGAAAGTATGTTTTCCATAATTTTTTTTATTTTATTTTCTATGTTAAAACTAACTATGTGGGCCCACTTTTTGATTTCACTCATCTAACTTATTCAAGCACTTCCATCAATTGCCAAGGAAATTATTGAAGTCCTAGATATATTGTTGAAATGGCTTGTTTTGCGATTCTATGAATCCAACACATCTTGCCTACTTAAGGTGAACTTATTATTATTATTATTATTATTATTATTATTATTATTATTATTATTATTATTATTAAAGTTTGGCTGGTTTATTATGTAGTAAACTTTTGTAGTATATACATATTTTTGAAATATGGTTATAGGTTTTGGAATTCCTCCCGGAGCTATTTGACACATTGAGAAATGAAAACCACAGCATGAATGAAATTGAAGCTTCCATCTTTCTTCTTTGTTTGGTTGAGAAGGTTAATACTAGCCCTAGATGTGCTTAAACTATACAGATATATCATGTATTGTGTTTTACATAGAAAACTTATGTACTAACTATACTTTGGTGCATGTGGACTAGTCATAATATTGAGAAACTAAGAGAAAAGTTGAGGGAACTAATGAAGCAGATCATACAAAGTTATTTGGCTGTTAAAACTTTCCCATGTATTTTGGAAGGTCTGCGCTCAACCAGACAAAAATTGAGCGTACTGATCTTGTTGGTTTTTTGCTTGATAATTATTACACCGAGGTAGTCCCTTCAATTAATGTGTCACACTCACACCTTATAGGCTTATAGATGCTGAAGCTTAATCATGCTTTACATGATTATGGTGCAGATAAGTGGACAACTGAAAAACCTACAAATTGTTGCAAGTTTAACAGCAGAACGAGATGGTGAACTTAGAAAGGATACATTAAATTGTTTTGCTTCTGGTTATAAGATTCTCGGAATGTTTAAAAGGAACAGAAATATGTATAAATGAATAATAGTTTTTTTTTTCTTTTTTTTGTTGGAAATGTTTAATCTGATTAAAATTTTAATTAAAGGTGATGATATCTGGAAATACGTTGGGAAGGTGAATGACGCCCAAAGGATCATGCTAAATGAAAATTTTAAGTGGAAGGTACAAAAAAGACTATTTGGGGAATCTGAGTAATATATGTATATATATATGTTGTTATTAATTCCCAATTTTTTATAGTTTCGAGAAATGGAGAAAAGAAAGGAGGGGAAGCCAGGTGAAAGAAGAGCTGCTTTAAAGCCTTCTGTTAGGGAAAATGGGTAAACATCCTCTTTTTATAACACTGCATAAATAACCATTTTTGTTGCTTTTATTTATTTAGCTTATATATATATATATATATATATATATATATATATATATATATATATATATATATATATATATATATATATATATATATATATATATATTGTTGTGCAGTTCTAATGTTGTTGAGCAAAGTGGTGAAGTCACACAATCCATGTCCGGAGGTAGTGTTGTCCTTGTGTTTTGATTTATTTTTTAATTTTTTCCTGTTCTGTATTACATTATATTTTTCCTGAGGTGCTTAATTTGTGGGGTTTAGGGAAGTGTATGCTCCTCAAGAACCTGAAATTGAAATACATCCACATGCACGACCATCTGGTGGTGTAATTGGCCTTATAGAGTGGAATGAAGCTTTAGATATCATTACATACGGCTCGCCTGAATAGGTTTTAATTTTCCTTGTTTACATTTTTATATTAAAACTTATAGAGTGTTGATTTGCAGTTTGTTGAAGGCATGAAAGTTGTGTGCCATGAGTTGGTAGCTGCAAGCAATGACCCTGAGGGCAGTTTAATGGATGATTTAGTCAAAGATGTTGAGAAACTCGTTTTTTGCATAGCACCTAAGGTAAATGTTCATAACTATATCTATTGTAGTAGACTTGAACTTCATGTACTTCTTTTCTTGTGTATGCATATGAATATATGAAGGTGGCAAAGACTTTTGACTTCAGCTTGATGGGTGCATCTTCTAGATCTTGTAAATATGTTTGGGAAGATTTTTCAAAGTATAACTAGGAATAAAACTGACAGTAGAGTTATGTAAGATAATTAAAATGAAAGTAAAATTATATAAGAAAGATTTTTTTCTTGTAAATAAATTCATATTTGTATTTTTGTATGTGTTGTGTTGGCATGGCAGCAAGAACTTTCTATGATATTCAAGAAAACTGGAGACAAGCAAATATGCAGTATTGGTCTATACGAACTATACCGTATAACGCAATTGTACCTACAAGTTTGGTTTGATCCCATCATTTTAGTTTTTGTCAAATCCAAATGTTTTGTTGGTTTGGTTTGGTTGTTAAGGTGGTGTAATTATTGTTGTTTATTATTGACACATGACAGGTTGACATATTTTCTCAACTTCAAAATGCAAGTGAAGCTTTCCGGACATATATCATAGAACACATGAGTTAATTTGTTTTAGGTTTATTAAAACCATTAGCCTCTTCATTTACATAACACAATTCAACACAAGTCAACTTCTTAAAGTGGATACTCTTCATTTAGCAATGTACTATGTTAATTAATTTTTATAGCATGCTCACAACCTATTGAAAGTGGAATTCCTTTTAAAAACTCTTAATTTCTAGACCTTAAGAAAAATAGAGAAGAAACTAGCTAAGATGTTGACGATAGATTTACTTGGTGCATAGTGATTGTTAATTATATATTCCTTAAACTGTTAATCAATTTATATACAGGCATGGGATGTATTGAAGCTTGGATTCTTGGAAAAAGGTATGGTACTACTAATGTGTTGATGATGTAAACAAGTATCATGTGGAAACAGAAGCATAACAATAAGAGGTAGAAACAAGAAGGTGTTCCTTAATAGCAATGTAGTATTAGGTTATATAGTTAGTGAAAACCTCTTATAACAGTGTACAATCGGATCCCATTAATACCAATGTATTAAATTTTTTTGACATGACGTTATGGATGAAATTGATTGTTTTGGTATATATTTGTTTCCATATTTTTGTATTATGCATAAATGAGTATCGTAAAGATGTGTCATAAATGTATATCATAAGTGGTTGTTGAAGTTTATGACATGCAAATGCATGTCATCTTCATTTATGACAGGGGCTTTAATGAAATGCAATGCGTGTCCTAAATGTGTTTCGTAAGGTTACGGAACATAAATGTGTGTCATCTTCCTTTTATGATACGAGCTTCCTTGATACGCATTGCGCGTCATCATTGCGCGTCATAAATGTGTGTCATAAATGCACGTCATAAATATGCATCATCTATAGACGATGCGCAAAAGCGTGCCGTCTCTCGTTATGACAGAGCCTTCCTTGACATGCATTTGCACGTCGTCTGAGCGTTTTACGACACACATTAAACATCGTAAAAGGATGTTTTTCTAGTAGTGCATGAACAAAATGAATTATTAGTAAGAGAGGTCTTTGACCTTAAAAATGATATCTATGAAATTAAGAAAGTAAATAAACTGCTAAAAGAAAAACTAGAAGCACAAACTAATGATTTAAGTAGGATTAAAGAAGAGTATAGCACCAAATGTGTCACTGTCGTTTTGCCAAAGAGAAAATTGTAAACTTAACTGACGAACTTGATGTATTAAAGGCTAAATTTAAGGATGTTGACTTTAATTTTAAGAAATTTGATGTGTCAAGTGACATAGTTAAGTCTATGATTCAAAAACAGTTAGAGTAAAAGAGTAACCAGAAAGAGGGTCTAGGGTATCACAGTGTACCACCTCCTTTCATTTGATGTGTCAAGTGAGATAGTTGAGTCTATGATTCAAAAACAGTTAGAGTAAAAGAGTAACCAGAAAGAGGGTCTAGGGTATCACAGTGTACCACCTCCTTTCATGTGAACGATAATGTTTGTGCTTCATGTGCAAAGAAAGTAACAATACAAGACGGGTGCGAGAAAAAAAAAGATAATTCTAGTTTTTATGAAAACTCTTCAAAAACTAAGTTTTATCTTCTGTTGCTTCAAAAGCTTGTGAGAACGCTGCTAACAATTTTAATCCACATAAAGTTGTGAAACAATTTGTTAAATCTGCTTGTACTTGTGGAAATACAGTTAGATAAGGACTAAGTTCTGAACGCATTCCTTTTAAAAGACAAACATGCTTTAATTGTGGAATTCCTGGTCACATTGCCAGAAATTGTCCAAATTGTGTATATATTCCCTATTATGCCCAAGGTAGTCAGAACGTATCTTGAGAAAGATCTTTCAAGAGAAACTCCTCGAGATCATGTGATGGTGACTGGAATATTTCCAAGACAAAAAATCAAACTATCAAGAACAAAAAGGTCATGTTTGACGAGAGATCTGATTTGAGAAACAATTCAGTCAAACCAAGATTGGTAAGGTCGAAGTCATATCAACGATCGGTCTCATGCTCCAAAACAAGTGCTGAAGCATCCATTCGATTAAACAAGAAATGGTTAAACCTAACTGCATATGGGTACCAAAAGTTCCCACTCCTAAATCACCTAAAAATTCTAATATCTCTTCATTTTCTGTGTTTGATAAACAAGATATGACTTGGGAACGCGTATCATGCATAGATGGAGAAGGTCAACCAAGTTTCAAAATTGATTGGATTCCCAAAAAAAAAAAAATCTCTTCATTTTCTATGTTTGGAAAAGGACCTATTTTTGATGTACCCCAGGTTCCTTCAAATTATATTTAGTGAAAAATATCCCCCAATTGAAAGGACGTCTGATACATTGGAAATGAAAGCTTTGGGTCCCAATACTTTTGGACTCATGAAGCAATAGAGAAAGTTTTCCAAAGTTGCTTACCAAGGTTTAAAGGAGTTAGTTAAATTTGGAAAGTTTGTTGAGATTGAAGACACACCTGCTATTGGTTCATTAAATGTTGAGGTTGCTGATGAACACGTCGCCCCTAAACCAAAGTTTCCATTCGCCATTGAAGAGATTGAATTATATAATGATGAAGAAGATCAAGAAAATGAATTGACAGAAAATAAGTTTGAAGATTTTATTCAAAAAAGTATCTCAAACCCAAAGAAGGATTCAGATGTCAAACCACCGGTTGTAACTGAAAGGGAAAGTGACTAGGGCTGGCAATTCTCGACACGACCCGCAACACGACACGAAATAAATGGGTTTGGGTTGAGTTTTTCAACCCGCCAACCCGTTTATTAAATGGGTCATATATGGGTTTCTCAAAAAATAAACGGGTTGATCCGCCAACCCGTTTATATTCTCCATAAAAAAATTATTTTATTTTTAAATGTATTTATATATCAAGTATTAATATTTAATAAGTATTATATAATATATACCATTGATTCATAGACCATTTGACTATTTTGACATTTTGACTCGTGGTGGATGGTCTAAGGTCGTAAGTCGTAACCTCTAAAGCTAAGTCTATAACATGTTTCTATTAATGTTTTTAATTTTCATTTGAATGTTTAAGACTTAAATGTCTAAAATTTGGACCCAATAACCCAAATCTAACCCACGAACCCGCCAACCTGTGAACCCGTATAAATAAATGGGTTGGCGGGTCATATACGGGTTTATGTTCCAAACCCGCCAACCCGTGACCTGTATATTTAAATGGGTCATGTTTGGGTTGGCATATTTTGACCCGCCAACCCACCAACCCGCGACACGTCAACCCGAACACGACATGATTGTCAGGCCTAAAAGTGACACAACGGTGCAATCTTCCATACCGACACCTGAACAGATCGATGCTCTCATACCAGAACTTCAGCGAATTGCAAGGAAGCCTTCCCAAATAGTTCATGTTAGTACTGAACCTCCATCTGAAAGTGATCTAGATGAATCAACGTACGCATTACTCCCAACGAAACCAAAAAGAAGATATCCAAGGTCAGGAGTGTTTATCACGGACCCAGTACAAAAGAAATCTACATTAATTGAGCATGGTTCTATGATTTAAAACATACAAAGTAAATTCACTGAGACCACTCCAGTGATTTAACAAATACTAGGCCCATTCCCTGAGCCCATTCCTATTGATGAGGATTTTCAAAGCCCAATTGTTGAAGAAGAAGTCATACCTTCAGAAGGAGCTCAAGCTTCAGGAAGCTCTTTTGAAACACCTGAACTGGACATCTCCAAAGGAAAAAGCAGGTTGCTTGAATCTGATTTTGTTGATGTCGTTCAGTTTCAGAATAGAGTCTTTGATCTGGAATCAAACTCTTCTGAAAAATATTTGATAATTGGAAAGTAGGGTATTCAAATCAACGAGCTTAAAAAAGAGAACTTGGATAAAGATTTATAAATATCAGAGCTTCAAGCGAATCTCAGTGGTCTAACTGCTCTATTCTTTGATCTGAAACAACGCCTATTTAAAAAGTTTGGTGATGAATTTCAACCCTTGAGCGTTGAAGGAGAAAAGATCACTGCTTCTAGTACAGGTCCTGCCAATCCAACTTCACGATATTCAAGTGAAAGAGCTATAAGACCTGCTCCAGTTGCTAATCTTCATACATTCTAATCTTCTGGTCCTCTTTCTGCTCAAGAAAGAAGAGAGAATCAAATTAGGGTTGAGCATCTGAAAGGGAACATGCTCTTAATGAAGAATTCAGATAACAATGCTCCAGGTGATCACCCTGAAATGTTCTTCAGTGAAACTAGGAAGAAATTCATAGAAAAATATGGTGATCATTCCGGCATCATCTGATGGGTTTTGTACATAAGAACATTCCTATGTGTGCATACAAACCCTAATGCTTGGATCTAGGTTTCTCTAATTAAAAATGCATTGAATCCAAGAATCCTAATGGCTAATTAGGTATAAGAACAATACAAAACCAGAGTTAGAAGCACACCTTGAAACACTTGTTTGATCTTCTAGTTCTTGGAGCTTTAGAGTCACAATTGACACTCCTCCAATGGCTTACAAACACCAACTAGCAAAGAGAATGATTTGAGAGAGAGGAGAGAGGAGGAAATCGGCCAGGGTATCCTTGATGTAGAGGAGGTGTCGATTTCCCTATCCCAAGGGGTCTATTTATACTAGTAAGGCTCCTAGGGTTTCACCCTTAAACCCTAATTGGATAACTTAGACTGTAAGCAATCCTAATCCTTTCCTTAGCTAATCCATGGACGAATTTGAGCTATCCCAAGCCCTACAATTTGTCCAACCCATATCCCTTAAGGATTTACAGCCTAAAGTGTAACTATCAAACAATTGACAGTTTATACCCTCGTATTTAATTAATCTCTTTAAGTCACCAAATTAATACTAATTAATATATGACTTATATTAATCAAATAATAATATTATTATTCATTATATTATTCTCATAATATGTTAAAAATATCCATTCTCTCATATTAAATCATCCTACCAAGTTGCTATGGTGAAGGCAACCCAAAAGGACCATGCGCAATCGGGTCAAATACTTGCCTAATATAGTTGCAGCCTTAGACACTATTCCAACAGTCTCCCACTTGGATAAGTCTAGTAACTATATGCACAAGCACAATCCAATTTGCAATCATAGCTCTCAAAGACGTTGTCATAACTCTGATCTAATCAATCTTGTCCTTTAGATAAGGGATCGTACAGTCCTCTGTTAGATATCATGCTGACAATTCTATGGAATGATTAGTCTAGCATTTGGTTTCTCGATCTCCGATTTATTTGACATAGAACTTAATCGATCACATCAATTCAGTTCTGACCGGGCCCAGCACATAACTCAAATCAAATCATCGAGCGGCAGAGATATCGCTTTTTCCATCTTAGGATAAAAGTTACAGATAAACTTCGACTTATATGCATTTACTTATTCATTAATCAACTATTCACAACAATGTGTTTTATAACATCGAATTACCAATGCATTTTCGCATTATCAATGTACAATCAATTAGCAAATAACAAACCATATATCTAGGTTTTAAGACTATATGATATTATCGTCTTGCGATCACCCTTTTATCACATTCCATAAGGTGATTCCAGCAAGCGTGGGTTTTTTCCAATGCTCAAAACTAATTCGTAAGCACTCATGAACATTGCAGCAATCTTTTGCTATGTCTAATACCATTTAAACACTCTACACACCTATTCATGACAATCTTCATTCGTATCTACTTCGAACATATGAACGATTGTGGACAATTTGACACAATTCGATTATTCTTAATAAACTCAATTATTCTGGAAGTCAAAACATGCAAAGCAAAACAATACTTAAACAATTAACATAAGACAATAACATTACTTATAAATAAAACTCCTTTATTTAATCATCAAATGTTAATTACATTTATTTATTATATGTTTCTAATACTATCTAATCTATGCTAATATCATACTTCAGCCCAATACTCCTAGCATGCTGCAAATGCTTAACCCTACTCAGTCCCTTTGTAAGCGGATCTGCTAGGTTATCTTCTGATGATATCCTCTTCACTACGAGTTGTCCTTCTTCTACACGATGTCTAATAAAGTGATATTTTCTATCGATATGTCGTGATCTACCATGATCTCTTGGTTCCTTGGTCAAGGAAACCGCTCCTTCATTATCACAGAAAATCTCCATGGGCTCCTTTATGGCAGGTACAACTCCAAGATCACCTATGAAGTTCTTCAGCCATATTGCCTCCTTCGACGCTTCGCTCGCTGCAATGTACTCTGATTCGCACGTTGAATTAGCTACGGTTTCATGCTTGGAACTTTTCCAAGTTACTGCTCCTCCATTCAGGTTAAAGACCCAGCCCGATTGCGAAAAGTAGTTGTCCCTGTCGGTCTCAAAGCTGGTGTCACTATACCCTCGCACCTTCAAGTCATCACTCCCTCCAAGGACTAAGAACCATTCCTTCGTCCTCCGAAGGTACTTAAGGATATTCTTCACCGCAATCCAATAGGCTCTGCCAGGGTTCCCTTGATATCTACTAACCAAGCTCATAGCAAAGGCTACATCAGGGCGAGTACATGTCATAGCGTACATGATTGAGCCAACTACGGAAGCGTATGGAACTCGGCTCATTTCAGCTATCTCGACTTCGGTACTCGGACTTTGAGTCTTACTCAACTAGGCATTACTTTGTATTGGTAATTCTCCTTTCTTCGAGTTTTCCATACTAAAATGTTTTAGTACCTTCTCTAAGTAAGTGTTCTGACTAAGTCCTATTAGTCTCTTATTTCTTTTCTTACTATCCTTATTCCTAAAATATAGGAAGCCTCTCCGAGGTCCTTCATAGCGAAGCACTTCTCGAGCCAGGACTTAACCTCCTGCAGATTCGGGACGTCGTTTCCTATGAGTAATATGTCATCAACATATAGAACGAAGAAGCTTACTACACTCCCACTGGCTTTGACATATACACACGATTCATCTTCGCTTCGTACAAATCCAAACTCTTTGACTTTCTCATCGAAGCAAAGATTCCATCTGCGAGACGCTTGCTTTAGTCCATAAATGGACTTCTCAACCTTACACACTCTATTCGGATGCTTCGGATCCACAAACCCCTCTGGCTGAGCCACGTAAACATCCTCAGCCAACTTCCCGTTAAGGAAAGAGGTCTTGACATCCATTTGCCAAATCTCATAATCATTAAATGCAGCAATAGCTAGCATCAGTCTAATAGATTTTATCTTCACAACTGGTGAGAAGGTCTCTTCATAGTCAACTCCGGGAGTTTGAGTAAAGCCCTTCGCAACCAATCACGCTTTATACGTGTGTACCTTTCCATCCACGTCGGTCTTCTTCTTGAAGATCCGTTTGCACCCAACCGTCTTACGTCTAGGCACATTATCAACCAAATTCCAAACTTGGTTATCATACATGGATTGGATCTCGCTATCCATTGCCTCTTTCCACTTTGCAGGCTCCGGGCCTGCCATGGCTTCCTTATAGCTATTAGGTTCATCAAGGTTTATTAGTGTACTGTCACTAATATACGTGTCCCCTTCGGTAATAATATGAAAACCATATAACTGGGGTTGAACTCTATCTCTTTCGTAACATCTAAGAGGTAATGATACATCAATCGGTTCAACTAGAGTTTCCTCCTCGGGTTGAGCGCCAGCGGTAGAGGTTCCTTCATCTATCGACTCTTGAATCTCTTCAAGATCGATTTTCCTCCCACTGTCTCCTTGGCCTATGAGTTCCCACTCTCGGAAAACTCCTCTCGATGCAACAAAGACAACATTGTCCTTCGGTCTATAGAAGAGATATCCAAAGGATTTCTACGGGTAGCCGATGAAAATACATCGCTCACTACAAGGTTCAAGCTTGTCGTGAGTATCTCGTCTTACGAAAGCCTCGCAACCCCAAACCTTGATATGTGCTAACGAAGGAGCTTTCCCCGTCCACATCTCGTGAGGTGTTTTGGCAACCTTCTTAGTAGGGACTCGGTTAAGGATATGGGCGGCAGTCTCTAAGGCATACCCCCAAAAAGAGATAGATAGCGAAGCACGACTCATCATAGAGCGAACCATGTCCAACAAGGTTCGATTACGCCTTTCTGCCACACCATTCAATTGTGGTGTCCTAGGTGGTGTCAATTGTGAAACTATTCCACACTCCTTGAGATAATCATGGAATTCAAGACTTAGGTACTCTCCTCCTCGATCGGATCGAAGTATCTTGATCTTCCTGCCCAATTGATTCTCACTTCATTTTTGAACTCTTTGAACTTTTCAAAAGTTTCTGACTTTTGCTTGATTAAGTAGATATACCCATATCTACTATAGTCATCGGTAAAAGTCACGTAGAAGCGGTTTCCATCCTTCGTGGTAGATCTAAACGGTCCACACACATCGGTATGTATGAGGTCCAATAGACCCTCACCCCTTTCGCACGTACCAGCGAAGGGTGACTTAGTCATCTTTCCAAGTAAACAAGACTCGCATGTGTCATCTTCCCTAAGGTCAATGACTCCAACACTCCATCCTTTTGGAGTTGGGCTATGCGTTTCTTGTTGACATGTCCAAGACGACAATGCCATAAGGATGCCTTATCCATACTATTGGAAGAATCCATGCATAAAACATCATTTCTAAGTTATCAACAATCATAACAGTTTCATAAATTCCATTACATGGTATAGCTTCAAAGTAAAAGACACCATTCAAATAAGCTAAAATAGAACCATTCTCATTATTAAAAGAAAATCTAAAACCTTGTCTAAACAAACCATGAAATGAAATGATGTTTCTAGCCATTTCTGGCGAATAGAAAACAATTGTTCAAATCTAAAGATAAACCATTCCTAAGCACTAAAGAATACACTCCAATCTTGGTCACAGGTGACGATCTTCTGTTCCCCATGATTAGATTTATTCTTCCATGCTCCACGTCTCTATTTCTTCTTAGTCCCTGCACATTAGAACAAATGTGGTAACCACAACCGGTATCAAGAACCCAAGAAATATCATGAGATGAATCGTTAGATTTAATTGTGTATATACCTGCGAAAGATGGCTTGATCTTTCCTTCCTTGATGGCTTACAGGTACTCCGGGCAGCTTCTCTTC